GCACGGAAGAGGTTAATTTATATTCTCATTCATCTCCTCTTCCAATTATTTAGGGTTGTGTCTGCTTAAGCTGGCCATACATAGATCAAAATTTGGCTGATTCAACAGGGACCGAATTTTAGTCCATGTATGGGCAGGGAGGTTGTACAGAAGTCCATCTACTTCTGTGCAACCACCTTGTCAGATTTTCCCCTCTCAGTCAGTGCTGCAGGCTATAGTTAGTGCCAATCCGTGTATTCTGACAGTGGGGAAGTCTCCCTGCTGTCAGAATACAATAGCTCAGTGGGGAAGATTCCTCATTCACTTCAAGTGTATGGATGGAGGGATCAAGTCAGTTTTTTTTATTCAAACCTCTGGTTGAATAATAAATAACAGTATGGGCTGCCTTACTGGGTGGGTGGGCAGTGAATTATGTGCCACACAGCAGGGAAGTACCTCATTTTGTGTGTGTAATGTGTTTTAGGAGGGTGCCACTTGTGAGTTTTGCTCAGCTACAGGCTGTAGCTGCAAAAGACAGGCTGTGATTGGCTAATGCAAGCACATTCATAGCCTTATTCCAGCTGCAGCTGGGAAGCGTGCCAGCTAAACTGACCATGAGAGATACAACCATACTGTGTGTTGACATGATGCCCTTATGGATCAGATGAAAATAGAAGAAAGCCTAAAAAAGAAAGCTAATGCAGCCATCACATCTAAGACTTGGTAAGCTGCAATAAAATAAAAATATTTACTTTTTGGTTTAGTACTGCTTTTAACTAGGAAACAGAACATACTATATTTACAAAGACGCATACATGAAATATTCATATTCTGAGGCAACTTACACTTTAACTGCTTCCTGACCTTGCTATAGCCATAAGACAGCTACAGCGCGGTCATCTAGTTCTGGGAGGATGTCCATGAACCCCCCCAAAACCCTGCCCCCTGCATGCCCCCAGGTGTGCTCTGTGATTGTCGTGTCCTTTGGACACAGCTGATCACATATCAAGGTAAATGGTCAATCACAGCGGCCCTTTACCACAGGGCTTGAGGTTGCCACGCTGACTAGAATTTGCGTCCTGGCGCCTGGGCTTTTCTAAACCCATTCACTACAGGGATGCTATATTGCCCCACACCTGGAACATGCAGTTCCAGGCGCTGGGCAAGTAGTTTTCTTTTTTTTTTTTTTTTTTTTTTTTATAACATTTAGCTCTGCTGCAGGCAAGAAGCAGGGCTTACTTGTCAGGTGGAAGCATTTAGGCAATACACGTTACATCAGGGCTCAACAAATCCCAGGTGTCACGTCACCATGGCGACCAGAAACCACGCCTTGGAGCGTGGGTCCCCGCTGGCACCAGATGAAAGCAACCCTCACTGCCCGATGCCCCAGACATGCAGCTCTGGGAGTCGGGCAGCCAACCCAGTTCCAACATCAAAAACCAAAACCAATAAAACAAAAACTCCAGCTCTGCTCCCCAAACACCGGCACCCCATGCACTCTCCATCCCCTCCCCCAACAGATCCGCTGCCACTGTGCAGAAAGGCTCTCCCACACTCGATACCTTTGCGGTGCCATTTGAATGTGCTCAAATCGCACTGCAAAGAATTGCATGCCATTTGAACAGGAATGCAATGCGATTCCTGTCCAAATCACATGCGGTTTCCTGGCACAGCTCCTGTGTGAACCCAGGGATTGCCAATAGTGACTTTGAGCCTGAGTTCAAACAGGAGAGGTGCGGGAAACCTCCCTGCAAGACAGAATCCACCAGCTCTGGCTACCGATCCCACTGTGGACATCAGCGGCTACGGCTTGGGCTCCTCCTGCCTCTCTCTCCCCCCCAGCCTCCAGTGCTTCTAGCCATCCACTGGGCCCCTTCCCAATCACCCCCAGGTCCAGATGTACCAGACTGCTGATAACCCACTGTCAGACAATGAAAAGCCACTTCACCGGTCTGGGAATTTGAACCCCCACAGTGTTCTTTCCTCTCCTTGCAGCGCTGACAGTACAGACTAGACAGCTTCTGATTGGCCAGTACCGTCCAAGCCGCAGCTGCTGATGTCCACAGTGGTATCAGGAACCGAAGCAACCAGTCATGTAGGGCGATTTCCTGCACCGCTCCTGTGTGGCTCAAAGTCACTATGACAAGCCTGGGTTCACACAGGAGCTGTGCAGAAAACCTAATGTGATTCAGGCACGTATTGCACTGCATTCCTGTTCAAATTGTATGCAATTCTTTGCAGTGTGATTTGAGCCCATTCATTTTGTATGGGCTCAAATCGCACCACAAATGGTATTGATTTCAGTATCAGAAGCATTTGCATGAGTACTTATGCAAGTACTTGGTAATGACACCAATACCATTATTAGTGCAACCCTAATAAAAATTTCATAAGGGTACAGTGTTGCATGACCATGCAATTGTCATTCAAAGTGTGACAGCGCTGAAAATTGGCCTGAGCAAGAAGAAGGGGGTGAAAGTGCTCGGTATTAAAGTGATATTAACCACTTGCTAACTGCACTGTAGCTAAATGAGGGCTACAGTGTGGCTATCCAGTTCTGGGAGGGCGTCATATGATGTCCTCCCAGAATGCGCCCTCCTGCCTACCCCCAGCGGCATGCACCCATCGATCTCCGTGATCGCTGTGTCCCAAGGACACAACTGATCACATGATGAGGTAAAAAGCCAATCACAGAGGCCTTTTACCACGTGATCAGTTGTGTCCAATGACACAGCAGATCATGGAGAAAATACAGTTGCCAGTTATTGGCAGCACTTTCCTCATGCTGTCACAGTGTGAGGAAATTACTGCCGATAACCCGCAGCTGTCACACAGCAGATCAGCACTGATCATCCGAGTACTGATGACCAGTGCCCAGCAGTGCCGCCCTGCAGTGCCCAAGAGTGCCTCCCGTCAGTACCCAGCAGTCAGCGCTGCCTATCAGTGCCTCCTCATCAATGCCCACAAGTGCCGCCTAATCAGTGCCCATCAGTGCTGCCTAATCAACGCACATCAGTGAAGGTGAAAAATTACCCGTTTGCAAAATTGTATAATAGAAACAATGAAAACCTTTTTTTGTTTATAGCGCAAAAAATAAAACACCCAGAGGTGATTAAATACCACCAAAAGAAAGCTCTATTTGTGTGAAAAGAAATATAAAAATTTCATATGGGTACAGTGTTGCATAACTGCGCAATTATCCAAAAAGCAACAGTGCTGAAAGCTGAAAATTGGCCTGGACAGTAAAGGGGGTAAAAGTGCCCAGTAGGCTAGTGGTTAAAGGTGTTTTTGTTTTTTACTTACCTACTCTGTGCCATAGTTTGGCACAGGGCAGCTCCGATCCTCCTCTTCTCGGGTCCCCCCGCCAACGCTCCTGGCTCTACTCCCTTGGCCAGTGCCCCCCAATAGCAAACCACTTGCTACAGGGGCACTGGTGCATGCTCATTCCCTCCCACATTAGACTTACGCTCCATTTACACTGAGCTGAACGTTTTTCAGGTGTCTTTGAGCAGATTTGCAAATATTATAGGCGTTTTTCATTTAGGTGTTTTTGCTGTGGCCAATAGAAATAGCTGAAGTTTGAGCTGAAAACGCCTGAAAAAAAACACTTAAAACACTCATTCCCACTGTTTAGGCATTTTCCATTCAAGTCTATGGGGACAAAATGCCTAGATCTGCCAGAAAGGTTGTGCAAGTACTTTTTGAGCAACAGGCGAGGAAACGCTCAGATGTTAACAAGGATCATAGGAATTAATTGGATTTTGCTTGTTGAGCATTTCTCGGCGTCAAGCTGAAAAATGCTCTAGTGTGAATGGAGCCTAATAGAGCCATGGCTCAGCCCCTCCCTCAGTTCTCTCCTCGCCAGCTGTGATTGACAGAAGTGGGGGCCAACGAGGAGAGAGAGACCCGGGACTGCCGAGGTTCCTATCCACGTCGCTGGACTGAGAGGCTCAGGTGAGTACTGGGGGGCACTTCTGAACACAGGAGCTTTTTTTACCTTCATGTATAGAATGCAGGAAGGTAAGAAAGTAAACCTTCAGCCTTTACAACCACTTTATTATAGGCCCCAATATGCCGGTGCTCAGGAGCCTTCACACACATTTTCAACACCCACCAATATGCCGGCTATAGACTCTCCGCCGTCTAGAAATGGTTAATTACGCTGACTTCATCCTAAAATGTCTATCTGTAATATAGATTTTGGAATATTAAAGCCTTAAAATGATATATAACCTGTGTAAAGCAATTGCAGCAAATTAATAACGAAATTCTGGAAAAAAGGAAAATAAAAAATGTAGCACAACCATTCTAGGCTCCCATTCAGCAAACACTGAGCTCCATACAATACCGCCCTCACACCCAGCGTGACCCAGCAGCAGCCGGACTGTAAACACACACTTACCTGTCCTAGGTAGGTGCACCAATACACCATCCGTCCCGCCAACTCCTTCACAAACAGCTGAGCTTCCCGGGCACTAACACGAATCTTCAACTGCCTGCACTTTCCAACCAATACGCGTTCATTAGACGTCAACAATAGGGCGTCAGGGAACACCAACTTCCGCCATGTTTATTTCGGGAAATCCACTTCCCGCTACCCAAACAATAACAAATCTAACTCATACCAACATAGAGTGAGTACTAAAGTATTTTTGGAGCTGCACATTAAATATTACAGCTTGTTGTTCAAGCTAACAACGCAGCGCCTGTGCTCAGAATTCAATTTAGCACGAGTGAAGCCAAAGACGCCATGTTCAAAACGGATAGCCAGCGAAAGACTCACTCCCCAGTCAGCCAATTGAAAGAGGCTAACAACCAATACGCGGACCAATCACAGGCAGACGTGACATGGGAGATCCGGTAGGCGGGAGCGACAGCAGAGAAGACCAATCAGAATGACGGTGTAGCGCTAGACTCGCGGTAATTGGCTGGGAAACGTGCAGGTATTTGAATGTGCCTGTGTGATGTGCTAGGTCTGGATGAGGCGGAGATGAGAGTGGAGATCGGTGGGAGGCAGCAAGATGGCGTACCAGACTTTCCGGCAGGAGTATATGCAGATACCTCCGGTGACCCGAGCCTACACCACCGCCTGTGTGCTCACCACCGCTGTAGTGGTAAGGACCGGACAGAGCCTCGTCCCTTGCTATGGCCATTCTCTGCTGAGGACGGCTGCACACTTGGGGCTCCTCTTGTAGCTAGTATGAAGCATAGTGGAGAGCAGTCAGCGCTGGGTATGGAGTGTCCCCAGTCATGGCAGCCTTCCACTATAGGGTGCTGTGTTGTCCTTCCATTCATGTCTGCTAGGGAAGGCTGCTAGCCTGACTATACTGAGCCTGCTGGGACACGTCACCTACAGGACATACACCTAGGAGGGCACAGGTCTCCCCTGTCCACTGACACCTCTATAGTAGTGTACAGCATGCTCCCTTCACTGGGGCTCTATACTGGGGATCCTTGTACACTTGTAAACAACAAATACTACATTTTGTGCTTTTTGTTTGTTTTTTTTTTTTAACCGCTAGCCTACAGGGCACTTTTACCCCCTTCCTGCCCAGGCCAATTTCCAGCTTTCAGTGCTATCACACTTTGAACATGCAACACTGTACCCATATGAAATGTTTACCATTGTTTTGTGACAGAGCTTTATTTTGGTGGTATTTAATCACCTCGGGGTATTTTAGTTTTTCTTAAACCAAAAACCACTGAAAATTTTGAAAAAAAGTTTTTTTTATCTTCGTTTTTGTTTTATATAATTTTGTAAAGTGATTTTTCTCCTTCACTGATGTGCGCTAATGAGGCTCCAGTGATGGGCACTGATAGGTGGTACTGATGAGGCACAGGTAGGTGGCACTGATGGGCATTGACAGGCATCACTGACTGGCACTGTTGGGTGACACTGGGTGGCACTGACTGGCAGCTCAGATGGGCACTGATATGTGGCATTGATGGGCACTGATGGGCACTGGCTGGTGGCATGGATGAGCACTGACAGCTGGCACTGATGGACACTGACAGGTGGCACTGCTGGGGCTGCACTGATCATCAGGGCACACTGATCATCAGTGCCCTGATGATTTGTGTACATGTCCCCTCTGAGGGATGCCAATTACCAGCTCTCCTCTTGGGCTGTCAGTGTGACAGTTCATGAGGAGAGCAATGCCGATAACCGGCATTTCCTGATTTACATCCGATCAGCTGTGATTGGACACAACTGATCACATGACCGAGCTAACATCTTCGACTCTTTCTGTTGATCGGTGATCCGCTGTGTCCGAGGGACACAGCGCACTGCCGATCGCCACACTGTGCGCCCTGGGACCCACGCATGTGTGGTGAGAATGGGAGGACGTCATATGACGTCCTCCCAGAACGAGAGAATCACCTTGCGTCTGTCATATTACTATATGGCGGGCGGGAGGCGGTTAAACAAAAGACAAGTAGCACAATACATTTTGTGCTACATGTATGAAAAAAAGATTAACATTTTTCTATGGGATAGGTTTTATAACAAAATGTTAAAAAAAAAAACCGGCATTTCCTGATTTACATCCGATCAGCTGTGATTGGACATAACTGATCACATGACCGAGCTGACCTCTTCGGCTCTTTCCGTTGATCGGTGATCCGCTGTGTCCGAGGGACACAGCGCACCGCTGATCGCCGCACTGCATGCTCCCAGAGCCGCGCATGCACGGTTAGAATGGGAGGACATCATATGACATCCTCAGAACAAGAGAACCGCCTTGCGCCCATCATTGTACTATATGGCGGGCGGGAGGCGGTTAAAGTACCTTTCATTATTAAAGCTGGCCTCCAGGTATGACTTTTTTTTTATTGTGGTTCCACTGGTCCAGCTTGGCACAGTGTAAATCTGTCTATCCACTTGCCCTTTGGAAGATTTTACACCTTCATGACTGCCATTTTTCACTATTCAGCACTGCACTACTTTACCGGCAATTGTGCGGTCATACAAGGCTGTACGAAAGCAAAATTTATATCATTATTTTTTTTTTTATTATTATACAAGATTTATATAGCGCCAAAAGTTTGCTCAGCACTTTACAATATAAAGGGAGACAATACAGTTCAATACAAGAGAGTTAGGATGGCCCTGCTCCTTGGAGCGTACAATCTAAAAGGGGGCTGGTGGTACAAAAGGTAGTAACTGTGGGGGATGGACTGGTAGGAGGAATAGAAGATTCCATTATTAGCTGAGGGCAGGATAGGCTTCCCTGAAGAGAGGTTTTCAGAGATCTCCTAAAAGTGAGCAGAGTAGGCAATAGTCTGATAAATTGGGGGGTAGAGAGTTCCAGAAGATGGGGGGAGGAGGAGACGACGATGACAAGGGAGAGCTAGAGAGTAGGAGGTCATGCGGAGAGTACGGTTTGGGTGATATTTGGAGACAAGATTGCTGATGTAATTTGGGGCAGAGTTATAAATGGCTTTATATGTTCATGTTTGCATTTTATCCGTTAGGCAATGGGAAGCCAGTGGAGGGATTGGCAGAGAGGGGTGCATATCATTTTTCCCCCCACATTTAAGAGTTTTCATTTGGTGGTATTTGATCACTACTGGGTTTTTTACTTTTTGCGCTATAAACAGTTTGGGGAAAAAAAGTGTGTAATTTTTTTTTAACATTTTGTTATAAAACCTATCCCATAGAAAATGTTAATCTTCTTTTTTCATACATGTAGCACAAAATGTCTTTTGTTTAACCACCGCCCGCCATATAGTAATATGACGGACGCAAGGTGATTCTCTCGTTCTGGGAGGACGTCATATGATGTCCTCCCATTCTCACCGCACATGCGTAGGTCCCGGAGCGCACAGCGTGGCGATCGAGTGCACTGTGTCCCTCGGACACAGTGGATCGCCGATCCACAGAAAGAGCCGAAGATGTCGGCTTGGTCATCTGATCAGCTGTGTCCAATCACATGTAAACAGGGAAGTGCCAGTTATCGGCATTGATCTCCTCTCGAGCTGTCATGCTGACAGCTCGATAGGAGAGCCGGTAATCCACATTCCGCAGAGGGGACATGTACACTGATCATCAGGGCACTGATGATCAGTGTAGCCCCAGCAGTGCCACCTTTCAGTGTCCATCAGTGCCTTATGTCAGTGCCACATATCAATGCCACATATCAGTGCCCATCTGAGCTGCCTTTCAGTGCTGCCTGTCAGTGCCATATATCAGTGCTGCCTTTCAGTGCCCATCAGTGATGCCTGTCAATGCCCATCAGTGCCTCCTCATCAGTGCCACCTATCAGTGCCCATCACTGCAGTGTCATTAGCGCACATCAGTGAAGGAGAAAAAATGTTTTTTCAAAATGTTCAGTGGTTTTTGGTTTAAGAAAAAATAAAAAACCCAGAGGTGATTAAATACCACCAAAATAAAGCTCTATCTATCACAAAAAAATGATAAAAATTTCATATGGGTACAGTGTTGCATGACCGAGCAATTGTCATTCAAAGTGTGACAGCACTGAAAGCTGGAAATTGGCCTGGGCAGGAAGGGGGTATAAGTGCCCTGTAAGCTTGTGGTTTAAAAAAAAAAAAAATCCTGCTGCTCCTAAATATTTTTTAGGAGCTTTTGGTGTGTTTGTTTGGGTTTTGTATTTTGGCCAAAGCCCCTGAACTCAATCATGGCCCGCGCTTTTTCCAGATTTTAGCAGCAGCAGAGTTTAGGGGAAGTTAATTGTTCCTCTCCTAAACGTGATTCTTCTGCGTTCAGGAGAGGAATGTTTTGGCCAAAAAACGCTACACTGTCCACTATCTGTGTTTAACGCTTGGGTGTTTATTCATTTGACTGACCACAGTATTTTCAACTGACATGAATAAACATCCAAGCACTAAACACTGGACCACGTTTTTGCCGCGTTTAGCATTTTTCTACTGCCAGGAGAGCTAACTATCTAGGAGATTTCATGTGTACATGAGACCTAAGTGTATATTGATTGGTTTGTAAGTTTTTATAGTGTCTACAAACTGTATTGTGTGGTGTGTGTATACTGGAATTTTTTTATTTTTTTTTACTAGTAATGGCAATGAACAGCGAGACGATGGACTAGCTGAGACTTTGTGGGAACTGGCTAACTGTCATGACATCTCCAGTGATCAGTGCTAATAATATGCACTGTCACAGTGCTAATGACACTGGCTGCAAAGGGGTTAACATCTGGGTCAATCATAGGGTTAAATGTGTGCCTAACTGTTTATGATGTGTAGTGTGTGGTGCTTTTACTAAGGGATGGCAGGGAAACAAAAACCTGCACATCGCCACTGTCAGAAGAGAGCTTTGTGGTTACTTACACATAGCTCTCTCCTGTCACTCGCTTCATTGATCAGTGGGTCCCAACCATAAATCATTGGCTGGGAACTGATTGGCTGAGGGCTAGCTGATGAGTTGTGAGTTGCAGTCAGGTGTTGCAGAGGTGAATTGACAGGTGAGTTTCAGAGAGGGTGCAGAGATGAACCACAGACAGTGTGCAGGGGTGAGTTGCAAACGTGGGATGCAGAGCTGAACTGTGGCCAGGGGGTGCAGAGGTGGGTTGAAACTCTTCTCACCTCTGCACCTCCCAGCCACAGCTCACCTATGTACCCTGTCTGCAACTCGGCTGTCAATTTACATCTGCAACACCTGACTGCAGCTCACCTTTGCACATCCCCCCCTCTCCCTCCATTAACCTCATATGGTTAGCCAGCTTTGCAAAACACAGCTGTCAGCAGTCGGCCCCACTCTATAGTAACTCCCATTTTTGGATCCCATCTTCCCACACAGTGCACTCACTTATTGCTCCAACCTCTTCCCCACTGGTCAGCGATCACCCCTGGGGCATCAGCTTCCATGCGTTAGGCTGCAGGCTGAGATGCCCCATTCCTGAACACACTGCGCCTGCAGATATCTGTTCCTTGTCCCACGGTGAGTACAGAGGTAGGGAGGTTCTGTGGGAGTGGATGGTGCTGTCACTTACAAGAGGGACTGTCACTTGCAAATACAAAAGCTGAGCTTCTGTGTTTATAAGAAACAGAAGATATTTGTGTGCTCAGGGCCAGTGCCAGAGGTGGCTGATTCTGCCACGTTCCGGCTGAAAAAAAAAGCCCTGATCACAACAAGGTCTTATTTTCATGGTAGGTCTTATACTCAAGCAATTCCCAAAAATAGTACTAGGTCTTATTTTTAGGGAAACTGGGTATACATAACTCTGTGCACCTGACCCACGCTGCAGCAGTAAAATTGTAGTGTGCGGTCAGCAAATGGATGTAGTATAGCTGTGGGATGCCTGTGGAAGTGGACAATCCCTGTACTAGACAACACTACTGCAGTGATGGCAGCAATCTTCTAGGCCCTGTGTGGAAGTGGCTGTTCTGCATAGTGAACAAAGGGAGTGCCCATTCCATATGGGTACCAATCACAGAAATTTTTCTCAATAAATGCAAGGTGTTTTCCGATTAGATAAGGTGGAGTGGTGATGTCAGTCTGCCTAGTTCAATCAGAGAACACTCTACATCGTCTAAAATGCCGGGCATTCTGTGAATGGCACTCACACTGAACGAGCACCACTGTCTTCACTAAGGAGCTGGGCAGCCACTCGTCACGGGGTACGGAAGACGGCGGTGATCACTGTAGTAGTGCTGACAGGTATGACATGTGCCTACGTGTGTTGGTCCAAGCTGGACCATTACAGTCTATACCTAGATTTTGCAGCATTGTAAAATCTCATATCCACTTTAACATGTTAACCTTGAGGTTAATGCCATAATGTGCTTTAGTTTTGGTAAGGGTGGCAATAGGTGAGAACAGGGAATAGGTTTTGATTGCTGTCTGTGCCCCCCGTTAGGGAGATTCACCCTCTCTGTTTGTTCTGTTTACCATTATCTTTGAAAGTAAAGAATCACACATTTTGGGTTTTCCCCAGAAAAGTAATAGCAGGGGAAATCTTCCAGTGGGGGCACTGGTTCTGGTGACCTGGGGGGCACCAAAGGATTTCCTTAGTTTGCAGGGATTTCCTTTCACTTCCTGTTCTACCTCTGAGACAGGAAGTGAAGGTAAATTGCCCCAATGGAACCCAAATGGTAAAGAGAAACCAGCAGGGGTATAACTACCTATCCAAAATGGGGGGGGGGGGGGGGGGGGGGGTGTTGTCTATAGTTCTGTTTTAAGCTGTCCACTGTATTGTGACAGTGGCACTCTAAGCAGCTGTCTGAATACATGGAGTAGTGGTTGCAAGCCGCTGATTGACAAGTTTCCCAGCTTGTCCCTCAGAATCAGTTAAAAATCAGCTCCAGTTGAGCAGTGAGGGCATGTACTGATGGAAATTTGTCTAGTTGCTGCTGAAACATCCAAATTTTAGATCAGTCTACATCCAGCAGCTACTTGTCATCTACATATTATAGTGGTAGTAAAGTGAGATTTTTGACTTGTACCTAAAGTAAGTTTGTACGTTTTTACCTGTATATTTCATAAACTTGCACCATTTAGAAGATTTTCGCATTGGTAGAAGTCTGTTGCGTCACTTTGCACACTGCGGTGTGTTGTCAATGCAGAGAGTGCCATGCTGCAATTACAACTCTCGCATGCATGCACAGGAATGATGTCATCACAGCCAAAGAGCGTGAATCTGGCAAGGAAGACCAAGAAATTAAGGAAGTCCCAGGATTGGAGACCGTACGCTGCCAAGGGGCTCTGCATCCAGCAGTAATTGCTACAGTTAATCGCTGGCTGTGAAAAGAGCCACGAATAGCTGTGACCACTGGTGACCTGCCGTTCTAATGAACAGGGCTGGTGGCTGTACCTACCCACTGAGCTGCAACAGGAATCTGTGATTCCAGCTGCTACAATTTGCACTGTCCCAGTGTGAATGTAGCCTAAGGCTGGCCGTACATCATACAATGTTTCCTTTAGCTTTACCCAAACCATATGTTATGAACCGAAACTCTTTCAATTTGTATGCAGTCAGGCAGGCCTGCCCTTGCACTACATAATTGACAGTAAATCTGAAGGAAATTGAATGAGAAACTTGTTTAATGTATGGCCAGCTTATGTCTCTGCACTGGAAGAGCAGCGCTTACTATAATGTACAAGTTGAAAGTTAAACTGGCCATACATTATACAGATGTTGGTAATAGGGAGCTCCAGGATGCCACAGCTCTGGGAAAAAGGTGAGCATATTTTTGCTTTTGAAGGCTGGTTCACACTGGGATGGCACAGGAATGCTTGCTGGAATTGCAGCAAAACACTGCAATAGTAGTGTATACACTACTTTTAAAAACCTGCTGCACCAAATTGCTTGGTGCTGCAGTGGAATACGTATTGATGCCGACAAATGCACTGCATTTTCACGTTTGCTATCATATACTTGGCACTTAACCTTTTTTTTTTTTTTTTTTTGTTTGTTTGTACAGTGGAGTAGTTAGGTGTTAACAGGACCCAGTTTTATTCAGCTTGTGTTATGACTTGAAGGCAAGGCAACAGGTTTATAAAATGCTGTCCTCTGCAGCAGCACATCCTCCTCTTTACTGCCTTTTACAATTGCTTCAGCCACTGGGATCAAGGAAAGTAGCCCTGTGTAATTCAGGCCGTAGACGGTTTGTTTATTGGCCAAATTCTCGTCCGAAAAATGAAAAATTTGTCGCTCTGTTGCCACCAATGATTATGAAATTTGCCGTTTTTTCGTAAATTTTCCAGCATGACCGATAAAAAAGAAATGAGGAGGAACTGCGAAAATCGGCCGATGACATTGCCCCACTAACGGTGCGAATATCCGACCGATTATTCTTTCGGCCGAAAGTTCGGCCGATAAACGAACCGTCTATGGCCTGCATAAGTCTTGTTTGGAGCTCACACTGGACTAGTAAGCTCTGCTATCACCATGTGACCGCATTGAGTCAAGAAACCATTCTGTCACATGAGCAGAAGGGGAGAATCATATGGGGGGGGGAAAAAAAAAATTATATATATAAATTTTTTTTTTTTTTTTTTTTCTCTGCGTTGGCAAAGTACCAATTTTTCTTTAAAGCCCTGTTCACATAGGCTTATGTGTTTGCCCACACAGGGGTGCACAGGTGTTCTGGGGAGCAGTGGCCCTGCATGGGCATATGTAGAAGTACTCCCCTGTGAACGAGGCCAAACTACCTGTGTGGACAGACTTTTTTGTTTCCCATGTCAGAATGGCTTCCCTCCCTATGCAAATCTATCAGAATGCAAAAACCGTTTGAAACAGCTAAAATGCATTTGTAAACAAATTCTAAGTTATCTTAGAGGCCTCTCAACCTGATGTCAAAAGCATGCTTCCATTTTCTCAAAGACAGAAGCCAAGAGCCTGTTAACACAGAGCCTAAGTGGTTGATTTTGCACTTTAGAGTGCAAAATCTTGTGCACCTGTGCATTGTAGCCCATCGGCTTCTAACGTCAACTTGTTCAGTTGCATTTTAACGGAAAAAAAAAGCTCGAAGCCGATTGGTTTGCAGAGATGTACCAGACTTTGCACATTGCAGTTTTAGTAAATCAACCCCCAAGTGTCTGCTTACTAAGCACCAATAGAAGGCATCGTGGTTCTCTGTGGAATGTCTTTGCTGGCTTTGATGTCTGAGTATCAAGCTGCTCAAAGTAGTGATTTTACCCTGTTCCTGCACCTACTGGTGCAGGAACAGGGTAAAATCACTACTTTGCTGGCTTATGGGGGAATGTGAGTTATAACATTAGTGCTTTATTTGCTACCAGGCCACATGTGTGTACAGTAATGTTTTTACTAAATTGCATTAATACTTGTTTGTGTCTTTTGCAGCAATTGGAACTCATTACACCATTTCAGCTCTATTTTAACCCAGAACTGATATTCCGACATTATCAGGTAAATATAGTTTGTTAAATTTTTATGTTTTAAAACCCAGACTTTAAACTGCATTTTTGTACAAAGTAATACTACGTGTGAATCGAGGTTTCAGATCTTCAAATAAAGATATTTGCATGCTCAGGAAGTTGCATGGCTGTACTTTATGCTTCAACCAGCCACTGACTCCCAGGTGTTTTTGAGAGACAGAACAGGTTTATAGATTTTGTAAAATGCATGATTTTTAACAAAAAGATTAAGGGCACTTTAGCAATCTGTTGCAGTGTGTTAATGTGCATTCAGTTAAAGCGGTAGTAAACTGCTGAATGGAAAAAAAAGTGGGCCCCCAGGGAGGTTTAAAGTAGAACTCTAGGCAAAACTTTTTAAATTTTGGATAGAGTAAGGGAGGGTTATAACCCCTCTGTTTTGTTTTCCCCACCATCTCTGTCCTTTTGCGGAGATTCCCTTCACTTCCTGTCCCACAGTCAACAGGAAGTGAGAAGAAATCCCTGCATATTAAGGGAATTCCTAGGGGACCCCCAAGTCACCATAACTAGTGTCCCCATTGGAAGATTTCCCCTCAATCCCTAATTTTGGGTTGTCCCCAGAAAAGTAGTCTTTTACTTTCAATGATAATGTTAAACAGAACAAATGGAGATGTGAATCTTCTTACTGGAGGCATAGACAGCAATAAAAACTGTCAGGGGTTCTAATTCCTCTCCACTCCAAAACTTAAAAGTTTTGACTTTTACTTTAAGCCATGCATGAGAGTGATATCATTGCAGGCTGGCCTTTCAATATGCCAGAGCCAGCAAACCCAACTGGAGGGCTTCCTTAAGTCACTGGTCACACCGCTGTGGTTTGTTTTCAATTTCTAAAGACTTTATTGCTACTTGTGAAGATTTTAACGATTTCTTGCAATTTGCGGTACAATTTCCATTATATTCTATGTATGTGAAATTGCAACAAAACTGCAGAAAAAGTAATGCAAGCACTACTTTAGAAATCGCACATGTTAAGACCCTGAAATTCATTAGGTGCGATTTCAATTTTCAAATCGCACCGGTATGACCAGGCACTTATGGTATGTACAGTGCTCAGCATAAATGAGTACACCCCAAGTGATTTGTCAGAAATACTTTACTTTCCTTTCAGAATCAACATTTTCTATGGGACACTACAAAATACTCCCACAACTGCAGGCCATTGATTGAAAACAAAATTTGTTCATTTGCACACACAAAATAGTATTCTTAAATGAATACACCCCAATGAAAGTCTTGGGAGCAAAACTAACTTTTAGACAACAAAATCCTAATTGACAAGAACTCAACTACAGGTGAGTCTAATTACTCATTAAACAGGTGTCCAGCAGACAGTTGATTATAAAATGGCGTTACTTAAAGAAAACCCCTTCCCATTTCATGCTGTCAACAATGCCTCCACATGGAGGAGAAATATCAAGACCTGAGAGAGAAAATAATTTTTTTACATAAAGGTGAAGGCTACAACAAAGATGGAACTGCAAACATCTCGGACACATCCAGGCTATCCACGGAAGTTGACACCTCGATAGGAGCGTCTTCTGATGAGAAGGGTTGAAGAAAATCACCATGCAATTCACCGCAGTTAGATAAAGAAGTAGAAAGCCAAACTGGGGTGATTGTTTCCTGTAATACAATATAGTGTACACTATAGAAGAATGGCGTACACGAAGGAAGTCTCTCCTAAAGCCCATGCACAAAATTCTGCCTAGAATTTGACAGGGCCCATGCTGAAAGACTAATGGGACTCGTGATAAATTATTATTTTTTTTTTTTCTGGAACTGGTAGCTTCAAAACTATGGCGTCACAAAAGTAAGGACTACAAAGAAAAATGTCTTTCTGTGGGGCTGCATGAGTGCTGCTGGTGTCGGGGAGCTACATTTCATTGATAGCATGAATTCACAGATGTACTGCTGTATATTGAAAGATGCTACCATCGTGCCCTTGGTCGTCTTTCACTTTTACAACATGACAATGATCCAAAACACATCTAAGGCCACTTTTGCATGTCTGAAGCACAGGGTGAAAGTGATTCAGTTGCCAAGTATGTTTACTGATCCGAACCCAATCAACCACCTATGGGGAATTCTGAAGAGACAAGTTGAGCATCCCTCTGCAGCCAGCATCCAGGCTCTAAAAGAGGTCGTTCTTGAAGAATGGAAAAAGATAGATGTTGCAATGTTGCTAACTTGTTCATTCCATGCCTATAGACTTGGTGCTGTCCTTGCAAAAATGAATACACCTTGCAAAAACTACTACATCTAGTATTTTTTTTATCAACTAATTTTGAGTAAAGCTGAAGATTTTGTAATGTAATTTTTATATTAAGATTACTTTCATATAATGAGCTAAACAAATGTTCTCAGACTCAGTTTTGTCAAAATTTTGTTCTTGTGTTCATTGAGATTCAAATTTTTACTTTTCAAAAGGGGTGTAACTCATTTATGGTGAGCACTGTATGTGTGCATTAGTACAAAGTAAGGTATGTATGCGGCAATCACCACTAACTATATTTTACCGCAAAATTCGTTGTGAATTGCACATTTGTAAAAGATTTACATCATGCGTTATTTTACTGCATTTATTCAGTCATTACTTGACTTGGTGAATTGTACCTACAGGAAAGCCCATTGTGGGGGTCAGGTTGGTGTTTACTACCACTTTAGCTGCTTTAGTGCTGCCCCATAGCAGAAATGCTGTCAATCACCAGGTCCTGGCCGGTGATTACTCCCTGGTGATTGCCAAGCATCTCCAACAGGTCACTGATCACTGTATTGGTGTCAATGGTGATGTCAGTGACACCAAGCCAGTAAACACCCTCCCGGTGTCAGAATGTCTTCCGCAGTCCTGCTATAAGTCGCTGATTGCCACTGTTACTCATGGTGTATTTCATGCCTTTCCAGCTTGCATCTGTTGATTTTGTATGTGCTTAGATGTTCTTCTCTTTTGGTACAGGTATGGCGATTGGTGACAAACTTCCTGTTTTTTGGACCAGTTGGATTCAATTTTTTATTTAATATGATATTTTTGTATCCTTGGAAAAATATTTTACTTGTGACAGTTGTACATAATTGCCATTTTTAAATTATGTAAATTATTTCTAAATTCACAAAAAAGGATGGCATTTTCTTTCAGGAGACCAAAAAAAAGGGAAGAGGCCTAAAATACTACTTTTGTGAAAAAGATTACATACTGTAGTTTCAACTTCTTTGTTGTGTGCTCCCTCTGTTGTATTTTATACAGTGGGTAAAAAGTATTGAACACGTCACCATTTTTCTCAGTAAAAATATTTCTAAAGATGCTATTGACATGAAATATTTACCACGTGTCTGTAACAACAATGCAATCCATACATATAAAGAAACCAAAACGAATAGGTTCAGAAATTAAAGCAGAGCTCCACTCAAAAGGGGAATTTCTGCTTTAAGGACTGGTCCCCTGCTTGCTGTTAAGGATTGGCACCTTTTGGGGAGTGAGAGGTTACCCGAAATTGACAGGTTCTCACTTCCGCTCCGCTGCCTAGGGAGAATACTGGTAGAATATAGTCTGGTCAGGTGAGACTGAAATTGAACTCTTTTTGGATGCCATAATACACACCATGTTTGGTCAAATGGCACTACACATCACCCCAAAAACACCATACCAACAGTAAGTTCAGAGGTGGGAACATCATGGTGTGGGGCTGTTTTTCAGCATATAGTACTGGCAAACTTCATATTGTTAAAGGAAGGATGAATAGAAAATGTACCAAGACATTTTTGATTAAAAAAAAAAATAAATAAAAATTCTGTTGCCATCTACCAGGATGATGATGATGATGATAGGAGGTTGGACATTTTAAGCAAGACGATGATCACAAAACCAAGGAAACTCAATTGGTTTGAAAGAAAAATCTGCTAGAATTGCCCAGTTGATCACCTGACTTGAATCCAATAGAAAATCAATGGAAAGAACTAAAGATCAAAGGCCCATGGAACCTTCAAGATTTGAAGACTATGTGGAAAAATGGGCCAAAATCGCACCTGAGCAATGCATTCGACTATTAGTAAGGACAGCCTCAAAACCCCTCCTGTATGGAGAAACTAAAGGATTTTGTATGAAGTATTCTATTTCAGTTAGTGTTCAAATACTTTCCCTGTGTCCTATTTTATTACACATAACCCATGCAATCTGTACATGCAAAGAAACCAAAAACATCAGTTCAGAAGTTAAGTTGTTACCGACATGTGGTGAAAACTTCATGTCAGTAGCACTTTTTTTTTTTTTTTTTTTTTTTTTTAAGAAATATTTTACTGAGAGAAATGGTGACGTGTTCAGTACTTATTTTACCCGCTGTATCTTAATGTGCCACCATCATTTTAATATCTTGATTTTGGTAAATTTTGTAACTGAACAGTCCACAAACTAAAGCTTTCCTTGACTGAGCATTTACTCTAGATACAGATATTGCCGGATGCTTGAAGAAGGCTCTTTCCGAGGTCGCACAGCAGATTTTGTATTTATGTTTCTTTTTGGTGGTCTTTTAATGGCTGTATCCTTTTTGGGACACCCCCCCCCCCCCCCCCCCAAATCATTGGATTCAGGTGTTTCAATCACCTCCATGGCTACATGTGTATAAAATTGAGCACCTAGGCATGCAGACTGCTTCTACAAATATTTGAGAGAGAATGGGTCGCTCTCAGGAGCTCAGTGAATTCAAGTGAGGTACTGTGATAGGTTGCCACCTGTGCAATAAGTCCACCCGTAAAATTTCCTTGCTACTAAATATTCAAAGGTCAACTGTTAGTGGTATGCAACTGGGAACAACAGCAACTCTGCCACAAAGTGGTAAGCCACGTAAAATGACACAGTGGGGTCAGAGAACGCTGTAGCACAGTGTGCAGAAGTCACCAGCTGTCTGCAGTCAATAGCTAAAGACCTCCGAATTTCATGTGGCCTTCAGATTAGCACAACAGTGCATAGGGAGCTTCATGAAATGGGTTTTCATGGCCGAGCAGCTGCATCCAAGCCTTACTTCACTAAGTGACTAAGTGCAATGCAAAGCATTGGATGCAGTGGCGTAAAGCACTCCACCACTGGACTCTGGAACAGTGGAGATGTGTTCTCTGGAGTGACGATCCAGAAAGAAAAATGTTACCAGCACACAAAGGAATCCTCAAAAGAGGGTCCAACGCTTTTGGTGGTCACATAGTATCAACAGTAGCAACGTTCCGGAGCCACACAGGACTCTACGTCAGGCAGGTGCCAAAGTGTGTTGTAAACCAAGACACAATTACCAGACAATACACCAATCAGTGAAGACAATTGAGGTAAAACCCTGGCATCCTAATGATGTCCTGAGCCTGCCATATAATGAAGATACTCCTTTTTAATGTTGCTATGTATGCAGGAAACAGCAGGCTGTAAGTGGTTTAGTTGGTTACTAGGCAATATGGAGGTGTGTGGCTGTCCTCCAATGCCGTTTGTGCCAGCGCAGTATGATCCCTTGCTCCAGCTCTCCACCTGATGTTGCTATGGCAACGCTTGACTTCAAAGTACTTGTAGAGATTGAAACCCGTCCAGGAAGGTAGGCGGAGCCCCCTGTGCATGCATAGAGTGAATGGGACAGAAAAGGTAATGGTTCTGATCACCATTTTGTTTATTGCCATGTATGGTCACTGATGGTTGTTTAAAACTGATATATTTGGTGGGCTTATGATGACATTAGGATGCCAGGGGGCAGGGTTTTACTCTGATTATCTTAATTGATTGGTGTATTGTCAAATGTGTCTTGGTTTACACTGCACTTTGTCACTTGACTGATGCAGGGGCCCTGTGTGGCTCTGAAATGTTGTCACTGTTGATATTCTGTGACCACTAAATAAAGCTTTTGGACCCTTTTTGAGGATTCCTTGGTGTGCTGGTGACATTTTTCTTACTGGCTTGTCTGCAGTTCCCAGCCTGTGGTCCCTAGAGCACCCAAACACCATTTACAGCTACTTGCAGGAATGTGTGCATTGGTAAAACTACATTTTTGCTCTGGAGTGACAAATCGCTCTCCTCTGTCTGGCAATCGATTGGACGTGTCTGGGTTTGGTGGTTGCCAGGAGAACGGTACTTGCCTGACTGCATTGTGTAAAGTTTGGTGGAGGGGGGGGGGGATTATGTTGTGGGGTTGTTTTTCAGGCGTTGGGCTTAGCTCCTTAGTTCCAGTGAAGGGAACTCTTTAAGGCATCAACATACCAAGACATTTTGGACAATTTCATGCTCCCAACCTTGTGGCAACAGTTTGGGCAAGGCCCCTTATTGTTCCAACATGACTGCGCACAAAGCAAGGTCCATAAAGGCATATATGAGCAAGTTTGGGGTGGAGGAACTTGACTGGCCTGCACAGAGTCCTGACCTTAACCTGATAGAAAACCTTTGGGATGAATTGGAGCAGAGACTGCAAGCCGACATCAGTGCCTGACCTCACAAATGCATTTCAGGAAGAAAAGTTAAACATTCCCATAGACACACTTCTAAACCTTGTGGACAGCCTTCCCAGGAAAGTTGAAGCGGTTATAACTACAAAGGGTGAGCCAACTCCATATTGAACCCTATGGACTAAGACTATTAACGTTCATGTGCAGATATCAATACTTTTGGCAATATAGTGTACTGTATGTGCTCAGTTTCACAGAAAATTCTAATTTTAAAAACCGCTGCTTATGCTATATCCTGTTACAAGATATAGAAAAGTTTGCACTATGGAGTGTGGTGCTCTAAACTAGTGTCTAAACTATTCAAAAAGTATAGGATAGTGCAAACTGGCTCAGAATCCCGATTTTTTTTTTTTTTTTTTTTTTTTTTTTTTTTTTTTTAATAAAATTTAAAAATACAGAAACGTGAACACAAATATTCAAAACGCATGTGCAGTGATCACATACAGTATATAGTGCAAACAAGTCTATGAATAGACTTTATAGAAAGTGTACATACACAGAGCAACTTGGGGGGGGTGTGTGTGTTTAAAAACAAAGGCACTTACAACTTAAGAACATCTACCACAATCCCTAAAGCTCATTGTTGTAGTTCATTCATCACAGAATTCTGTAACTGAATGGAACAGCTATGTGGCTGCACTTCTTCGTATGTGTTTTTGTTTTTTTGTTTTTTTTGTCTGTTTTTTTTTTTTTTTTTCTTAAAATGTGACAGTGGGTGTGGGGAGAACACCCCTGCCCACTGTCAGTGGGGAATCAGAGGAGAGCACTTAGGTGCTTTTTAGTAACATGTTGCCCAAGGTGAGCATATTCTTTCAAACCCTCCTAACTATAGCTGAATGGTGCTTTTCGATGGCTTCAACAAAGTGTAAACATTTCAGCATTATATTTGTCTTTTTATTTTTCCCATGTACGTAGGTGGGGGTTCCTCCAGACATTCTGTGGTCACTTGAAAATTGGGAACAACATTAGTTGGGACCAGAGCTCTCAGACAGCATTGTATTAACAGCTAGGAGCACTTGCCTGTGTAGTTATCTAGCTATCAAATAGGTGGATGAACATTCCCTCAGCCTGGGAGAATTAATTTTAAACTGCAATTAATCTATGCTGTTGGGCCTGCAAATACCTTCACCTGTGGCAGCTGAGCGTATTCTGTAACTTTTTATACCATTTTGTGTTTTTTTTAAAAAAAAAAAAACTGGATTTCACATTTTATCTGTACTTGATGGCACATGTGGTATTGATGTTCCTTAATCCCTTTCTTCAGATCTTTGGCTTGTTTGTTAATTTAGTATTTCTAGGACAAGCTTTTACGATAATGCTTGTGTATGTCTGGAGTAGGAGGAATCCCTATGTTCGAATGAACTTTTTTGGGCTTTTGAATTTCCAAGCGCCATTCCTGCCCTGGGTTCTTATGGGCTTTTCACTACTACTGGGAAATTCAATAATTGTGGATCTCCTGGGTAAGTTATAAACTTTTGATATTTTCAAGCGCACACGAGCTAAGGATTTGGAATGGAGAAAGGCACATGTAAATTCTGACTATGGTTCAGGGTTCCCCTTATTACACATCTATCTGCTGCTGTGTTCCTTTGCTAATTTTGTGACTTTTTTTTTTTTTTTTTTTTTTAACAGGTATAGCAGTTGGACACATCTACTTCTTTTTGGAAGATGTGTTCCCCAATCAGCCTGGAGGAGGACGAATTCTGAAGACCCCATATATTTTGTAAAGTATATACCTAACTATTCTTCGGTCACTTTCAATGATTTTTGTGTGTGGTGTTTTTTTTTTTTTTTTTTTTTTTCTTCCGCCCACCCCCCCCCGCCCCCCCCCTTCCCCCCCCCCCCCCCCCCCCCCCCCCCCCCCAGCCTTTTAAAGCAGAGCTTCACCCAGAAGGGAAAGTCCCACTTTAAGGCCTTGTTGTAAGGATTTGCACCTTTTTTGGAGGAGCGGGTACCCGATTTTGACAGGTATCCGCTGTCAATCAGTTATTGGGGGTGGACGTTGCCAGCATGGCCCAAAAAAAAATATTCCTATACCAACTGGCATGACCAGCATTGCTGTAAACTGTATATATTATCAACTATGTAAAGTATGCAGCACTGTGTTCTGCAGCATGACAGTGACTCTAACAAAACTGAGTCGGGTTGACTGCTTCTCAACCATTTTCAGAAAGCCTTGTATTTTTATCAAACAAGTCTTCCCTGGCTGAGATGGATATCATGATGTCCTCTTGGATAAAGCCCAATGTAGGTGAAACATGACAAATGTGAGTGACTGATGGGCAAGGATATGACCTGAAGCCTGTTTTTTAATTACTTCTGTGGAGTTGAATAAAGTGTGCAGGGATACTTGTTTGCTATATTGTGTCTTGGAGTGAGGTGTGCTCAGTCTTTTGGATTGACAACTCTGAATTCAGGTGCTGGTAGAGACCAATACTATGGCCTTGGAACAGCACTGATCTGGTGTAGTATCTCTTAAATGACACTTTCAATTGTTGTCCCTCTTACAGGAAAGCAATATTCGATACACAAGAAGACGATCCAAATTACAACCCGCTGCCTGAAGATCGTCCTGGAGGTTTTGCATGGGGTGAAGGACAACGACTTGGAGGTTAAATAATCTAATGGCAACTAGGAGGCGAACTTTAATACCTTCTGGAGAGCACATTGTTTCTGTTTGTTACAGAGGTGATGTTGCTGTTCTTAAAACAGGAAGCACTTTATAATCCACTGGCTGACCCAAGCAGACCTTTTCATTTCCCCACCAGTGCCTCTCTGAGGTTTTGCTTGCATTGACGCTCTTGGAGCCACAAACTGGAACCTAAAGTAGGTTCAGCAAGACCATGCGGACCTGTTCAATGCTTTTTAACAGCTGCTTTGTACTTTTTTTTTTTTTTTTTTTTTTTTTTTTTTTTCTTAATTCTTTGATAAAGAACCTGTGTATAATGACTTTGTGGTACACAAGGAATATTATGTTTGTGAACACTTTATGAAGTGTAGCAAAAATGTGACCCTTCAAATTCCACTTGGGTTGGACTAAAAGGAGAGAGTGGAATACAACAGCCATTCCTCTACTTCCATTTGAGCAAATGATATGCCAATATCCTTGTGACTTTACTTTTTTATTATAAATCTAAATTACTTTGTTAAACAGTGATACATGAAGTCTGGAATGCTTTGTGATTTTATTAGTTCTATGATTGGGTGTGCAGCAAAACAATGGCAAATGGTCAGTTTTAGCATTGCATTTATTTAAGAGGGTAGACTTGAAACAACATCTGAATAATGGAGATATGTGCAGTTTTTATTGTATACAATAAACCCACATGAACTGCTTTTAAAGTTGTTTAAGATTATGTGCTTATACTGTAATATTTTATACAAATATATTGCATTATGTGCCGTATGAAGGTGAATTCTGTTACATTAGTGAAATCGTTTGTTTTTGTGGTATATTTTTTCACTTCATTTTCACACTTGTCTAAATGGGGTGGATTTACTAAAACTCAGGGATTCATAATCTGGCGCAGCTATGGATGGTATCCAATCTGCCTATAACTTCAACTTGTTCAATTAAGCTTTGACCATAAAACCTGGAAGCTGATTGGTTTCTCTGCAGAGCTGCACCAGATTTTTTTACTGTCCAGTTTTAGATTAAAAAAAAAAAAACTCCAATGTTTCCATACTTTGCAAATCATTTCACTTTTGCATGAATTGTCAGGTTTTTGCTCAGCCCAATTGTATCTTAACACTACATGTGTTCCAGAGATAATGCTTTTCACTAGTGGGCCACAGCCCAGAGCAATGTGTCGGACAATATGCATTAAGCAAATGGCTATAGTTACTAAGGACATGGTCAAGGGATGCAATCTCCGCAATCAATTGGGCAATGGCACAAAAGAAAAAAAAGACTGCATTTTAGGGGCTTGAACCTCCCAGTGTTTTTGTGTGGATATTTTTTTTTCCCCTTTCCTTTGCCCTGTGACAACTGTTAAACAAAATGAGGGGTGAAAATAAAATAAGTGGTGCATTTAAAACCCTACAGGTTCTAGCCCCTCTACACCTGATCCAAAATGAACATTTCTCCAATCCTCTTCCAGGACAGAGAACCTGAGAGATGATTTGGCTCCACCCTGACAGAAAACACAATTGAAGCAGGCAGTTAAAAGCCCTACCCAATCCCCCTCATCTCTCGGTTTTAATTGTCTCCCACCAACAGGTTTTTATTGACCTGATGCTCATTTGGGTAGGAAGGTCCCTCTCTGAGGCGAAGCTGTGAAACATTTTGCAGAAAGTCATAGGTTCTCCTTTGGTATTCAGGATTTTGATCCCAGTGGCTGGGGTTTGACTCCTGAAGTTCTCTTGGCTGGTAACCCAGATTCACTCTGGGCAAGAGCTGAGGGGTGTCTGACATTACTTCTGGTTTTGAGGGTGCATATGTGGTATGAATGCCAAGCCTCATTCTGGGTTGAACATGGGATTGGTCCCTGCATCAGTGAGGAGAGGTCACATCCTTTGGAAACTGGATGTGCTATGTAGTTTAAATGGTGGTTGGTTGGAGTGGTGAGGGGGGTGGTTCCAGATACTCCTTTGCTTATTTGTGCAGTGCACCTCTGCCCAGCTAGTGACTTCATTGGAATACTCTGTTTATGCCTTAGAGCAGATCTGTCCCCGTCCCCCCGTCCCCCAGAGACTAGAAAATAGGAGTGGAGAAGATGACCTCTAACCTCCTCTATGGATTCTGAAGACAGGTAACTGTGGCAAAAATCTAAGACCTCAGGGGGGAGGTCATGCTTCTCTTGTTGCAGTTGGGGATGTCAAACCTTTTGGGAGAGGGTCCCCTGCACAGTCCAGGAGGGTTTGAGTATGTAAGGGCTGCTGGCTACAGTCTTGGGTGTTTTGGTATTTTTCTTGCAGCGTGTTCACCTACAGACAAGTTCATGAAGCTTCAGCTAAACAGCCATTCTCTCCAGTTACCCTTGTGGTAGGCTTTGTGCTTTCTGAAGTGAGAAGTTACTGGCTAGTTAAACCTTTTTGCTAGAAGTGTATCGAGAGGTTGGGTGGAAAAGAAATCTCCATTCTTATGAAGGACTTTATGTCCATGATGCAGGTTGAGATGGTGGCCACATCTCCGGCCTTTAGAATGGCTTTATCAACCACTTTAACCCCCTTCCTTGCAAAGTACTTTACAGGGGGAATCCTCTTTGTGGGAGGGCCCCTACATCTGTGAGGGGTCATTGTCACAGGAGGGACCATCATCTAGAGGAGACCCTCCTCAGCCCCCCCCGCGTGAGAAATTGAGGCCAACCAAACATCTGTTTCCCTGATACACTCAAGGGGTTTATTAAACTTCAGGTTTCATGTACTTCTGTTTCATCAGACCCTCAGAGTTAATTCTGAGCAAATGGAAGGAGCCAGTAAGAATGGTTGGGATCAAGGCATGAAAAAGATTTCCTTTCAAAGAGGATGATGAGGAAAAGTTCTTTAAAATGCCAAAATTAGATGCTGCATTATCCCAGGTATCTAAAGTTTTTGGATGTTTCAGGAAATGTTAACAATCATAAGGATTGTAAACCAGAGTTACTTTTGTGTAAGGTTTGGGACACAGACACCTTGGTCATGGCTTCTGCATTGGCAGCCACCTGTGCTCCCTGTCCCAGGGAGCTCTGGCATAGCAGGTTCTAGACTCCCTAGCTGTAGTTGGCAAGGTGGTTGCATATCTAGCAGACACAGCTGTGGAGACAGTAAAACCTTTGGCAAAACCAGCACCTCTGGTCAGTTCAGCCAGGAGAGCTGTTTAGCAGGGGACTTCACATCTAAAGTGACGTTGGGTGGGTTTCTGTTTGAGGGGAGTTTGCAGTTTGGGGCAGGACTTGCCATTGTTTCATCCTGATCCTCTGAGAAGGGGGGGGGGGGTTTATCCCAGTCAAGAGCAGAAGTGTGTGTGTGTGGTTCCCCACCCCTTTCTTCCCCCTCCTCCAGAAAAGCAAGCTACAACCTAAAAAGGGATGGCCCAGTAGCAAAGCCAGATCAAAAGGGGATTACTCTTTATCCCTCCACGATCGGATAACAAAGGCCCCCAAGAAATACCGGAGGTAAGAGTTGGGAGGTTGGGCTGTTCCTTTTCAGGGACAGCTATAGTTCAGGATTTCTAGCCCCTCCTCCCTCTCAAACTTTTCTTCTCACTCAGCTGCTTAAGGATCAGAAAAAGCTTTAGCATTACAGTAGGAAACCCTGGGCTTGGCAGCCCATGTGGTGATCATTCCAGTTCCAATAGATCAGCTGTTTTAGGGCAGATGCAGGCTGATCATAAACTTGAACAAACTTCTAAAAATACAAGAGGTTGCATATGGAAAACACATGCAGTGTGTGGAAGAATATCCTGAAGGGTGTTTTCATATTAATGCTGGATTTGCAGGCCGCCTACCTCTATGTCCCTATTGTCAAGAAGATCAGATGTTTCTTTTGGAAAAACAAGGAATTTGTCACTGGCCATTTAGAGCCCTGCCATTTGGCCTAGCAGTGTAAGGGTTTTTATAAAAAGTCCTAGTGGAGGTGGAGTTATTCCTTTTTTTGCCTACAGGGAATCCTATTAATCCCTTACCTAGACTATCTCCTGTTTTTATGCCACTACACAGGAGAAGATCATGGAATATCTTTAAATAGCCATTTATACATTGCAAAAAACTGGGGTGGATAATCAATAGACAGAACTCGCTGTTCCCTACCTAGTCCAAAATCTTTTTGGGATACCGAATAGAAAAATAAAATCCAAGTTCTCCTTCCTTGGGAACAAATCCAAAAGGTGGTTACGACTGTCTCTTAGCCATTACTCCAGTAAGTTAGTAGCTTCTCATCATGAGAGTGCTAAGTCTCATGATCTCAACCACCCTTGCACTTTCTTGGTCCCAGTTACATTCAACTTCAATTTTTTTTTTTCTTCTCTCAAATTGGGACCAGAAAAGAGGCTCCCTAAATATGATGGTTCATCTCCCTTCATCAATGAAAGCCTCCTTGGATTGGTCTCAGTGGGGACCAGTGAAGGTGACCACAGATACCTGCTCCTGGGGGTGGGATGCCCACCTTGGGGATCTGCAAGCTCAGAGGTCTTGGCCCTAGACTCTGAGGAGCTTCCTCAAATTTCAGAGAACTCCGCAATGGTCAGTCAGAAGCCTTACGAGAATTTGAACAGGAGATTCTGGGATGGGAGGTGTAAGTCCTCTCTGACAATGTGACTATGGTGGTGTATCTAAACCAGTAAGGAAGCACCAGGTCCTTGGAACGCCTGATATTGTCACCAGAGATCTTACACAGGGCAGAGGACAGGATCCTCTCCATTTCTGCAGCCCAGATAGAGATCTTCAAAAAAAAATGGAGGCAGATTTTTTTGAGTAAAAATCCCATTCGTCAGGGAGAATGGGATGCTAAACCAGGTTTTTTTTTTTTTTTTTTTTTTTTTTCTTCTCTTCTTCCAGTTAATGGACCTATTTGGGGTATTAGAAGTAGATTTAGTTGCCAACTGGACAAACAGCAAGGTAAAACATATATATATATATATATATATATATATAATAATTTTTTTTTTTTCTCTTTTTCTCGTCCAAGAGTTGGAGTCA